TAATTTTATTAGAGCTCAAAATTATTGGTCCATAAGTTCTCCTATCATCCTTGTATTATTTGCAAGACAAGATGAATTATAAAGATTTTATTTCACTAGCGAAAAATTAATTGAGAATTAATTATATATTAAATAATGTGATTATTTAATTATTTTGTCACACATTGTGGTGGGACCACAAAGGACGTGTGACACCGGGAAAAATCTCACCAGGATTGTAGTTACTTCTTCTCTAAGTAATCCAGTTTACTTGTTCGACACGTTTTCTAATTAAATTCAATAAGAAAAGTAAGATGTTACTTTATTTGGAGTTGAATTTAAGCCAAAACTGAAAACTGGATTAGGAAAGAATTTTCTCCTTCCTTCGTTAGAGTTGGCCGGCCACACTAATAGTAAAAAGGAAGGAATTTTGTTTCTAAAAGAAAAAGAGAAACTATATTTTTAATGAGATTAAAAATATAGTAATAACCGATTTCTTATTTTCTTTATCTACAAGCAAAGGCTTCTCCTAATTGTCTATAAATAGGAGACAATAGAGATTGGAGAAGGTTGATTGATTTTCTCCTATTTTTGAATGCTTGGCCGAATTCCTTAAGAGAGAAAAAGAGAAGAAAAGTTCTTCTAATTTTCTCATTTCTTTCACATACATATGCTGATAATGAAATAATACAGCTGTAATGGATTATTGGGCAACATTCATCGACAATAACTAACATGACTAGACTTTTCAGAATGGGGTTAGGGATTTATTGATAGGGACGTCGGCAATACATTAATAAAATAATAATAATAATAAAAAATAAAGGGCATTAATTTGCATTTACCAACCACTCAGTGTCACAGACTTTTCAGGCTAACTAATTTGCATTGACCCACTACTTAAGTCACGGGTTAATTGCAATTCTGAATAAAAAATTGCTTCAAAAAAAATTCATTTTCACCGGATTTTTTTTTCTTTCTTCGATGGATTTTGAGAATCTCTTCTGTGAGAGGGAGTAGTGACGAAAATGAAAGCTGTGCATAACGAAATACACCATAACAAGATGGACAACAGAGTGCGTTACCTTGAGAGAAGAAAGATAGAAAGGGACAGTATCTATAAGAAAAAGAGAAAGGATCTCATTTTTTTTCTTTCTCTCCGGCTCAGTTGTTTTCTTTTAAAATACCTCACTCTTTTTTTTCCTTCCTTTTTGACCATTTTGGACAAATATAGTTGCAGAAAAATCAACAAGTGAGGAGGAAGAAGAAAAAATACATGTGATTTTATTACTCGTCCAACCCAATAATCCATTATAGTTGTATTGTATTTTCATGGCAAATTGTGTAAGTTTAAGCATTCATTGTAAATAATTAATATGACTGGACTTTTCAGAGGGGGGTTGGGGATCTATTGATAGGGACGTCAATAATACATTGACAAAAAAAAATAAAAATAAATAAAGAGCATTAATTGCATTTAATAATAATAATAAATCAGATAATAAATAATAATAAGGATTTGACTAGACAAATCATTTCTAATCAATTAGATAGTTCTTCACGCTGTTTATTTATTTATTTTATTAGAACCATTATCTCAACTACGCCACTTTCTCTTTTTTTTTTTGAGATAAAAAATTTGTACCTCAAATTTGTTAATTCGAGTTAAGAAAGTGAATTTGAGTTGTAAAAAATTTGAGTTTAGTTTAGACTTTGAGTTAAGCGTTTAGAAAGAGATTGATTTGACATTTAAAACTTGAGTTTTATGTTCACTTGTACTAAAGCCAAACTCTAATTACAAAGAAGTGTCCTTTTTTGCATAGGCAATCCGCACTGTAGAACCAAACTTGAGTAATGAGAAAACAAAGGACAGGTGAAACTCACCAACTCGAGTTATTACTCGAGTTTGAAATTTGAGTTGCGTTTAGTGAACGCATAATTTGGCCCAATTTCACACTCGAGTTGGACTTACTCGTGTGTGATCTACGAAGTGAACGGTGTTTAAGTGTCTTCGACACAACAATAAGTACAAAACATATTCCCAAAACTAATAGTAAACAAAAGAGAGAATGTTTCGTTCATAAATGTTAATTATTTTCATTGATTAAGGTACTTTACCAACACCTCATAATATAGATTTAGAATGACTATGGTATCGAGGGCTTTATGCGTTAGCATTTTCTTTAAAAACCGTCAGATTTAAACTCAATGGTTTAAAATTGAATTTCTATATAAATAACAACAAATCCAACCACATTAAATAATTAAGTGTCATCGTGACTTTTTATTTTTTCTCATTAATTGAATGACAATTATTTATTTTTAAGTAGAGTGATATAATTAAATAATATTATTTGCTATCTAGAGTGACATTTCTGGTTTTTCCCTTGAAACTACACAATATAGTGTATGTTGCACGGATTTATTACTAGTAATTGCAAGCTACCTTGCTATCCCAATGCATGAATATATAGAATCTTCACTAATTTTTAAATGATCATATGCCAAGTATATATCCTCCATAGTGACAGCTTTGTACAAGGATGCAAGATCTCCAAGGCATGATATGTCCTGAACAAAAATACAAGGTCATATTGTTAATAAATATAAAGCAGCATTTAAAATACTTATAAAACATTAAATTGGTACCCTTCTTAATTCTCATGTCTACAAATGATCACTTCTAACTATCGGAGGATGAGATTTTATAAATCATAAATCACTTACCTAAAGATAAGATCACAGTGAATAGTCATAAATCTCAAGTTCGTGATTTCAAGATTAAGATGAAACACTTATCTTATCACAACGTTATAATATCACCACTGAAGTGGTCCATACGAGTTTCGGGACCTGTCTCTAAAGATATGATCTTCATATCCCAATTTCTAGGCTATCATGTATTTTATCATTTCTTAAAATATCTCATTTTAAGAAAGTATTACTTTGAACGCTTCTTTGAATCTCAATGATAACAAAACGTTTTATCTTTAAAATGTTTTCAAAGACCAAAGATAGTTAAAATAAGGCCAATAAGAATATAGATAAAAATATCCTACCTCTCAAATATTTTAATCTACAAATAACTTCACATTGTCCAATCGTCTATTCTTAAAACTCCACGTCCAATCGTGTTATACTAAATCGTCTTCTTTTAATTTACTAAACTCTTTCTCTCTCAAGTTGCCATTTGGCAAGCCCTCTTTCTCCCACTTTATTCCTTTTTTTTTTCAATCTTACTTTTTCCGTATCTTCATTCTCTTTTATTTTTTTAAATGTTTTGTTTTCTCTTTTTTGTGATTTTTTTTAACATTTTAACTTTTTACGTATGTGTTTTTTTAAAATATATTTTTTACTTTAACTCCTATGAAGCAAATTTCTAACGCGAGTTATTATTTAATTTTTTATCAATGTTAAAATAATGTTTTTCAAATTTATTCATACTTAATTGTTTTCCGTATAATTCTTATCATATCAAAAGTTATCTATATGCGTAATTTTTTTTATACTAAATCGTCTTCTTCTAATTTAGAGTTATAAAAATTTCTTTTATCACTAACTATTTAAAATAAAAAATGAGGATTTTTTCAAATAAAATTTTAGAAACTTATTTTTAAAATGAATTCAAAAATTCTTAATTGATTGTATAAATAAATTTCTTATTATTCGATAAATAATAAACTCTTCAAGTGTCTTCAACATGATAATGCGTGCAAAACACATTCCCAAAACTAGTAGTAAACAAAAGAGAGAGTGCTTTGTTCATAAATATTAATTATTTTCTTTGATTAAGGTACTTTACAACACCTCATAATATATAATTGGAATGATTGTGGAAACGCGAGCTCTATGCGTTAGCATTTTTTTTTTTAAATTGTCAGATTTAAACTCAATTGTTGAAAATTGAGTTTCTATGTAAATAACAATAAATCCAACCACATTGAATAATAACCTTTAATATTCTAATTAATAATTAAAAGAAAAAAACTCCGGCCACCATCGTCTGTTGTCATCAACAACCACCATTCACTCAGAGGGGGTCGCCCTCTCTCTCTGGCGAATCGAGAGTCCATCACAGCCACGCTCTATGGTCTCTCTCACGCGCGTGAGATCTTTTTCCCCTTCAACACGAATTGCTCGTTTAGAATTGTGGCAAAGGATGTGACTCTCAATGAACTCGATTTGACTAGGATTTCGTGAACTTCTCTATCATCTTGATTTTGTCATTGGGCTTCCTAACAAAAAACGACAGAACAACTCATGGATGGATCGCGATAGCAAACAACCCCATGACAATCGCATTTATAAGATTTGAATCTTTACAAATCTTGGGTGACTGATGGAGCAGATGAGATTTGGTCTCCTCTTTTTTCCTCTCCCTCTCTACCTTTTGATTTTTCTCATTTTTTTATTTTAAAATTTTAGGTTTCAATAAATTTGATAGACTGCAATCAAAAGCGCATTTTTATTTCTGTGAGACAATATCATCATAGGCGTTCAGTTCTTACCCAACGGATGTTGGGTAAAATATGCACACTAAGGAAAAACCAATTTACTAAAAATTCAATAAAGAAAGACTCGAAATTGAAAAAAAAAAAGTATTGGAATCTGGGAAGAATAGGATACGATTGTAAGACTAACAATATTGAAATAGGTTAATAAAACTAAAAAAGAAAGTACAATATTTAAATATACCATTTACCAAATAAGAAAATGCAGCTTAATTCTGATATTGCTACTTTTATACGACCAATCCTTTTTTTTCTTATCTTTTGATGAAGCTACGTAATTAGAAAGTTAATGAAATAGAATAGTACAACACTATAATCTTAGGGCAACATCAATCAAATTAGGAAAACATACCAGTTTAAAGCTTTAAAGAGAATAATAAAACACACAAATTATATCATTTACTATGATTTAAAAAAAACAAAAAAGTTATGTTATTTATCTCACTTTAAATAATTAAGTGCCATTTATTAATTGAATAACAATTGTTTATTAATTAATGGAGTGATATAATTAAATAATATTACTTGCTATCTAGAGTGACATTTCTGGTTTTTCCCTTGAAACTACACAATATAGTGTACGTTGCACGGATTTATGACTAGTAATTGCAAGCTACCTTGCTATCCCAATGCATGAATATATAGAATCTTCACTAATTTTTAAATGATCATATGCTAAGTATATATCCTCCATAGTGACAGCTTTGTACAAGGATGCAAGATCTCCAAGGCATGATATGTCCTGAACAAAAATACAAGGTCATATTTTTAATAAATATAAAGCAGCATTTAAAATACTTATAAAATGTTAAATTGGTGCTCTTCTTAATTCTCATGTCTACAAACGACCACTTCTAACTATAGGAGGATGAGATTTTATAAATGTGCAATATACATATATTATTAAAATATTACCTTCCTTGAAACATAAGAAGCTTGCAAAAGGCATAACAATTTAAGCCAATAAGAATTTGACATCATTTCTTCTTCGTGTCTCTTTAGCATACATTCTCGTACCTATAATTGCAAAACCTTGAAGGATATTATCGGTTTTAATTTTACCTTTGGACAAGCAAACATTTTAAAGCGGTTTGTTCAAAAACTAACTGTTATGTTTTGTAACTAGAGCAATTACATTAGCGAGACGGGAAAAAATACTGTTGGATCCTTCTTTATGAGTATATAATGTGTATACTGTATTTAGATGGATTGTATAACTAAACGAAAATGTTAATAGTTTACATTGAAAGAGTAGCTAACCTCCTCCAAATCGTCTGAAGAAAATCTCACACTACGAAAATCTTTAACAACTTTCTTGCACGCATCAACAGTTTTATGAACCTGGATATGTTCTTTCGTAAGCAATGATAAAAATATTGATATCTTATGAAAATACCGATTACTTAAATTTAAGAACATATCGATATCTGTAAAAATTGATATAAAATACTTAAATTCATACCAAGACACTTTATTTTAATGAGATCTAATATACTCAAAAATAGCTAATAATATATAAATTAGATGAAACTTTCAATCAAAATACTAACGGTATTAAAGTATGAAAGGTAAAATGTGATCATAATACCATAAATGATAAGCGCACATCTACAAATAAGAAGCATCGAAAAGATTCTAAGGTATTTAAAAAACATTCTTGATTTAAACAATATTGATACCAAGACATAGAGTTCGAAGGAAAAAAATCTAGATAGCAATATAAAAAATCTCGAGAGCAATATTGATACAAACCTTCTTGATTTAAACAATATAACGTAAAATATAAAAGTAGTTAATGTTTCCCGGAAATTTTACTAATATTTTAACAATATTAGATCATTTAACAATACACCTTTATGGAAATATCCATTTCGCGAAATAGATCGATATATACAGATATTAGAAATTTCAGGATATTGTATAGAAACATTTAAAATGGTACTTAAGAAATATATAAATTTTTAAAAATAACAAAATAACTGTCAATTTTGCAATCTTGTTCGTGAGAAACTAAAATAACAGTTTTTTTAGGTAAAGGTGAAAATAAAAGAGAAAAAAATCTTACCTTAGAAGGAGTTGATGATATGGATATCACATACCATCCAAGATTTAGCTTATGACACAAGTGTACATCCAATTTTGCTTGATATGCCAAATAAGAACCATTAACAGCTTCAACGAGCCTGTATGAAATATTCATGCAAATTAACACATCATTGTAATTATTTTAACGCAAACTTAAATGCAAAATAAAACCATCATTAAACTATGATTAGTTGACAAGATCAGGAATATCTTGTTGTTAATTCAATGATAGAAATACTTTTACAACTTAAATTTAGATAACTCTCAACAACATATTTTTATTTCGATTTTAATTAAATGAAAATATTGCAGAGTAGAATTTACCGTGTGTCTATAAGTTCGGTCAGGAACTCCATTGTGATGAGAAAGAAAAACGGATGTCTATGAAGATTACTTATCCAATTTTCCCCGACAATTAACTTCGACTCAAGATAGTGTTTTCCATCAATGTTGAATCCCCATATATTTGGTGCAAGGCCCGCGACACATGCATATGTTCTCTCTTCAGTATCCTTTAAAAAAACCTGATAAAAAAAAACCCTCATAAAAGATTCAACAACTAATTTTTACACTACAAATAATCTAAATGGTTATGTGAGGTTCGTACTCGTGATTGTAAATGGGATGGAGAAGCACTACACATAATTGGTTCATACTGATGAGGTCCATTCTTGAAATTTTCTGTAGCTTTAATTGTACCCAAATAGTTAATGATACAAGATTCTATATCTTCTTCAGAGAAGTCACCCACTATACTTACCTAAAAGAAACATTTGAAATAAATAATTAGAAATGTTTAATTTATTTCTAAGATTAATTTAAATAATAAAAAATTACATACTTACCTCGATATTATTTCCTATAAATTTGTTCAACGATGCATCCTTGACAGATTGCAACGTTAAATTTTTTAATGATTTTTGTGTTGGCTCGATAAACCGTTCATCTTCCAACATTGCCAACATGAGTTTGCGAGCTGTAGATTGCTCTAAACTCTTCAAATTGGATTGAAAGTTTGACAAGAGCAATTGTCTTGCTCTATCAAATGCATCTTCTAACCAAATACTTTGCTACATGATCAAAAACAAAGCAAACAACATTACTTAAGAATAATGGTAAAATACATGTAGTACCAAGATTGAAAAATCGACGTCTTCACAAATATTTCCAATGTAAATTTTCTTATTTCAGATATGCCGATATGAAAAACTGAAAAAGGAATGTATCTTTTTCAAAGATGAAAATATTAATATTTATGAAAATTACGGTACTTAAATTTTAGAGATATATCAACGAATATATCAATATTGATGTAAAATATGGATATTCATAGTAATTCCGCAATATGTTTTGTTATGATAATATCTTTTAATTGTACGAATGCAATATAGTTTTAAAAAGACTGAGACTTCTTATATAATTTAGAAATTAATATTTGTTAATTTAAGATTAAAGTTGAGTTTTTTTCTTTTATCATATAATATATAAAAAAATCGCAAATTCAGTTTAACAAAATCAAGTATTTTAAGCGCTTACACATTAGTGAGTTTAAAAGACGGCTACTTAGTTAGGGTCGTCACATTATACCCATCCTAAGAACCCGCATAAGTTGTCCTGTTAACTGATCTAAAAATTACTGTCGGTATAAGTTTAATAAGTTTAAGAAGGGTTTTAAGTCATCATTATGTGAATTTTCTCTCTCTTCTCACTAAGTATGACCGGCCACACTAAGCATTTTTTTAATCAAATTCTAGTCCATAGAGCATGATTAAAAAGGCCTTAATTAGTGATAAGTTAGCTTAGTCATTTGTCTATATATACCACCACTTAGAATTAAACTCACTTTGACCGTTTCTTTTTTTTTTTCACTCTCTCTCTTTTTTCCCCTTGTTTGGCCAAACCCCTGATGTTCTCTCTCTCAAAACATTTCCACTTCTCTCACACAAGGGAGACTTCAAACCACAATCTAAAAGAAGGAGAAGGAATTTGTGTGGGAATTACCTTGCACTTTCAAGGGTATAGAACAAAATTTTTCTCCTTTGATTTTCTTTGTTCAAAGTTTCAACTTTTCCTTAAAAGTTTAAGGGTCCGTTTAGTTCGTTAATTTGAGCTTTTAATTCGAGTTAAGATGTGACTTTATGTGAGAACTTTTTACTGTAGTAAAAAAGTTAGATGTGACTGTGTCTGAGAGCTTTTTACTTAAAATGAACGGGGCCTAAATCTTTGTAGAAATTTCTCACTTTGGTGATCAAAACCATTCCTCTCCTAAGATTTGTGGTAAGATTCTTTAAAACTTATCTTGATCATTTCAACTATAAGAACAAAGTTTAGTTTGGTTACAAAGTTTGTGTTTCTATTTTTTATGTATGTTAAAAAGTTAAATCTTCACATGAAAGAAGTTTTAATGTTAAATCTATGTTTTTGAATTTGTATTTTATGGTCTAAGGTTGTTTTGTGTGTTTAAAACAAGATTTAAGCTTTGCATGTTAATTTTAAGAGGTTAAAGACGCAAAAAAATTAAGTTGACAAGTTTTTGTTTCAGTTTAAAAATTTCAGTCTACATTATAGGATATAATACATAATATATCTAATTTCAAAATTGGTTATAATTAAACAGAGCGGATAAACAAGAAAAAGGGTTGGGGACCTCTAAATCCGTCCCCGTCCCGCGATTGGTGACGAGTTAAAATTTCTAACCCGTTTACAATGTGGATTTAATTAAAGTGGATTTTTTTCCACCCTTTTTAATGCGAATCCCCACATATAAATGGGTTAACAGGTAAAATTGCCAAATCTTTTTCTCTGATATCGATATTTCTATAAAATTTCTATAGTGATATTTCTATAAATATCGACATATTTAACCTTAGTTAGCACTGCGATTCACTATACATACAAACTGCACAACAAATTTTTTTAAGGAAAAAAATGTGATCATGGATTACATATATTAGGATTACCTCGAGCAACATATGAAGCAATTGGAAAGCTGCTTGCATCCCATTATCTCTTGATGTAAAGCTCACCTCCACAGTGATAAATTCCTCGGTGCACTCCAACGAATAATCAATCATATTTTTCAAACAAAAAAGTTTTACCTAGACAAAATATTTTGCTTAAATCTTGTGCAAATTACCAAACCCTCAACAAATCTTAAATTTTGAAATATGTAAATATCGTGTGTATTACGCAACTACATTATATAATTACCTGCTCATTGGAAAAGTTGCCAACACAACCTCCCTCACAAAGAGTTTGGACACCCAACGCAATAGCTCCTTTTAAATCTGAACTTTCATGTGCTCTTCCAGCACCTATTATAACTCGTATTACACTTTCATGGCCTTCATTTTTTGACATCTGATTACACATAATTAACATATAATATTCAATCTTGAGATATATGTAATTAAGGGTAAATGAGCGCAAACATACATATATATATACAGTTGGTTTACATTACCTTATAAATGATAGATATTCCATTTGAAAGACGACGATGAATGATATTGGTTCTCTTATCATGAAGTTTCTTCACATCTTGGTTTGAATTTGTTAGGGGAACGAAAGACGGTTGGCGCTCTAACCATAATTCTTGTAACTGTGATTGAGATATCAACTCTGTTGGCGTCTCAATCTACAAGTACGGATCATCTACCAATAATTATATCTATATATGTAGTGAGGGAGTAAATAAATATAATATTTAATAGGAAAACTAAATATTCTTGATATCTTTCTCGACAATATTTTAAGAAAAGAAAGGACCACCACCTGAGGTTCAGCATAAATGATGTCGTCCAATCCTTGTTTCATAGCAAATTCAATTTCACTAGGATTTACGGTGACCCTACATATTTATTAGCTAATTACCTCGTCAAGCGTAATTGTTGTAGCAACAGCTGCTAAAACTTTATGTGCTTCCCTTACCTCCATTGTAGCACGGCCAAGTGCATCATTACGCATGATTAACTTAATGATATCAGAAGATGAATCGTCATCAAGCACGGCTATAAAATTTGCACTATCATTCAAAATTACATCCTTATGAAGAGTAAACTCATCATAACTAATCCCCAACTCTTTTAGCCTCTGAACCTGTATGCAATTTGAAAATGGATAAATTTAATAAATACTTCTCCAACTCTGCTAAATCTTTCACTTTCCCCTTCAAACTTCGAGACGTTAGGATAGTTAGTCCTTTCCGTCCATTGGCATTAATTTTAAGTTGATGCGGCTGCTAATTTACCTTGTTACAATCAATGTGTAAGAGAAAAGATGGTTCTGTTTATTTCGTTTAGCATTACAAACAAATATTTACCCATTTTCTTTTGCCATATAAATAAAAATATAGTTTGCTATGAAAAAGAACATATAGGAAATACAATTGAGCGAGCCATCGGCGTTTTCAAAAAGCGATTTTGAATATTAGTAATCATGAAGTAGAAATTGCAGAGTCTGCTCATTTTGACTTGTTAATTGTTAATTGTTGTTCCTGATCACCATGAGAACGCGAATAATGAAAGAAAGTGACTGAGGAGAGAATGGTGAGATGAAAAATGGAGAAAGAGTGATACCAGAAATAGTATCAATTTCATAATTTTCCAAACAAAAAAAGTTGAGTGGTCAAAGGAGTTTATATTTGTATCTAAGTACATGACGTATGCTACAAAGAGTAAGTAATTTTGCTTTTGAGAAATTAAGGGTACAAACCTCGTGGAAAGCTACTTTTATTGCAGTTTTCCAATCCTTAGGCTCGCTTGTGGTACCAAGAAGAGTACGGGCACATCCAGTACAATACTTATCAAAATGGCTTAATTCAATTAATGTTGCGGATGAATTTGAACTCTGAAACATTTTAAATAGATATTACTTCATAAAATATAGCTTTAAGGAAAATAAACCTGTTACATACATATTGGGAGGTAAGACAAGAAAAACCTCGACATTCACATCAAAATCTAGGATTTAGTTTCCTTGGAACACACAAAAAAAAAATGATCAAACTAAAAATTAAAGGGCACACACCTTATATTTTGCATTAATCCGGAATTGTAAAGCAGAAAGATATATTTGCTTCATTACGAAATTTCGTAGGTCGCCATATGTTTGAAACTTGTTCACTGGAACCTACAATAGTTTCTCAAAAAGTTACATTAAAAGATGGAAGCCAAAAAAACAAAAACAAAAACAAAAAACAACACAAACAAATTTGAAAAAGCACGAACAAGTAAAGAAAAGAATCGTCACTTCTTTATGTTTTTTGTAATTTCATGACAAATTATAGCTCATAATGTTTTCACCAAATCAACTTACAAAGTACTTTATATTTTTTTTTTCTTTAAAAAAAAAAAAGCATGCCTTACAGCTGAATGATTATTTCTTAGATAGTCGTGTGAATAATTAAATCAACCATTCGCCTTCTTTTGAAACTTCCACATAAATTCAACCAGAGATGCCTAAAGCCCCTATAATACTATTTCAATAACCTTAGAGAAGATATAAAAGGAAAAATTGTGGATAAGGTTGTGTTGAAAAATTTGCAGAGGTTTTCGATCATCTGTGTTGCTTCGCGCGAGTGACCAATTATGGAGTGTTAGAGGCCGAATAGGATGACCATGCCCTTTATTTTTAAATATTTCAACTGATCTCTTGTTCTGAAATCTTTTAGATTTTCCAAAGGCTTCCTACAATAAGAAGGTAATGTTAGTTTAGCGAGCATCTTAAAACAAAAAAGTGACAAATTTTACTATGAGACTTGTATATCAATCTTACTTGTATTGCAACAATTGTTTTAGAAACATCGTTGATATCCCCGACAATATATAAGGTTGCATTACCAAGAAAGTACCAACGCTTATAAAATTTCTTTATTTGAGCAACACTCCAATTCTTAATTTGTTCCTCCAGTCCCAAAACATTATACCTTTTATTCAGCTTGTTCTCCGAATGCAGAAGTTGACACAACTGACAAATTGTAAAGTCTATCATGAATAAAAATGAAAATAAACAAATTAAAACACAAAAAAAAAAAATATCAATTGATATTGTGCCCCACACCTTGCCTTCAATACGAAAATCTATTGTATTCCACATCTGTAATTCTGAAAGCACAACATTTCGTTCCTTTTCAAGATAAGAAGCTCGTATCTTTGGCTTGAAAGCTTGCTGTATCAAGAATAAATTAATGTAATATTCTACTTTTGCATCTTTATCATAAAAAAGACAATTAATTGACTAACGTACATACCAAAAGAATAGTAAGCATCAAGAACATTATAACTTCCACAATGAGGCACATACCTCATTTAAAGCATCTAGTACGTGGGGAAGAAGACCAATATGCTAAAATAAACACAAAATTAGGTCCAAAATAAAAAGTATTAGAGTGCAACACGATTTATTAATATATAAATTGTATAAATTGAGAGTTCTTCATCGTATCAACTCAAAATTCCAAGCTAATAAAATCTAACAATAATAGAGTGAAAAGTTGAGATCAATAACTAAACAACCTCAAATGTGACTTGTGACTTGATGTGATAAACTGTCCCATAGAAGTAAGTGTATGCTCCATACGTAGCTCCTACATAAAAAAGTTCAGAAAATTTTTCACTCTCAATTACATGTTCAGTCATATGTGCAATGCCTTGTTCATCTTCCTCTTCATGCATGGATCCCACATGAACTTCCAGGTGTGCTTCAAACCTACAATTAATATAAAAGAAATATTGTAATATATCTCATTCTATATACAAGTCCATGCAAAAATAATACATATAAATAAAGTTGTTGAAATATAAAAAGATATTATTGGTGCACAACTTTTGGGATGGACTCGTAAACTAACATGTTTTAGGTCATGAGTTCAAATCCTTATAATTGCATTGCTTAGTTGTCATCACGAGTTGGATCTTTATGTGTCGGGCTTATTATATACTATTCACATGTTAGACTTTCTAATTAATATACCCATACAATTATCCATTATCTAGCCGACACGTGAATTGAAATATAAAACTAATGTCTGCCCACCTCCTAATACGTTAAACTTTTTGAATAGATTGGTAAATTAAGAAAAGTTCCTTTTAAGAAAGCTAAGTGGGATTATATTACATTGTGCATCTCCAGCATTAAAATCAAATAAGAATCTAAGGGTTTCACAAAGGTTGGGAATAAGAACGGCTGCTCAAATCTTGGCCTTCTGGAAAGAATGTTCGGAGAATAATATTATCATCCTTAGTGGTGAAAGAATTAAAAGAGATTTTAGATTTCCCTGGAGAAGGAAAGACAATTTACCTGTTGGGAAGCCTTTTGTGTGGTAAAATACAATAACGCAACCCATTTTCTAACTGTCCACGGGTTAGATTTGGATGAGAAGGAAGCTCAGAGCTCAAGAAACCCTCCAAATTATCTTGCATCTTTATACAAATTTTTGGGCCAGCACGAGACTTCACCTTAAATTAAAGTAAAATGCAAACCAAAGAAAATCAAATTTTACATTTAATCAGGATCATGTTTCAAAAACAATAGTAAAATGCAAACCAAAGAAAATTAAATTTTACATTTAATCATGATCATATATATTATATTGAAAGAAAAACAAGATCATGTTTCAAAAACAATAAATCCGATTAACAATACATGCATCGCTAAATAAAGGGATATTCTATTATGGCTTAATAGTTACACTTACAAAAGAATTGTATGACCTCGGCTTGGATAAGTTAAGAAAAATAGAACGCATGTCATGGGAAACTCTTGGTATAAACGTTGTTTGGTTCCTTCCTTTATACAATCTAGATCTGCCATGTTAACCAACCACATATAAGAATTTTTCAGTCATAAAATTACAGAGAAAATTCGACTTGGAATTAAATATATGCACGCGAAAATCCCAAGCACGGTGCTTTTTAGGGCAAATTCTTTCTTAAGATCATGATTTAAAATACTAATGAAACTGTTTTTTTTTTTTTATAGGAAACGAAAATGTCATTAAACAAATGAAATCTTTATAAATGTTTATTGGACGGATGCGAGATCCATCCTAAAAGATACAAGAAACAAAGAAATAAGATTACAAAATCACAAAACCAAATCAAACTGCTTTAACAAATAAATAAAATTAATCGAGCGAAATTTCTATACCTGAATCCGGAAGTGGAGGAATAGGAGAAACGATGTAAATTAGGCAATAAATAGATCCATTTAAGACACTTGAGAGGGTCACTTAATTTTAAATCTCTTAGGACTATGGCCATACCAGCTTGTGAATTGGTTGTTCTATTTGAGCAACGATCCTGATAATTTGAATATGCATCAAGATATGAATAACATTGTATAAAATTTAGACAAGTAATTAAGAGCAATTGTTATTAAGGTAATGACACAAGAAAAGTTTATATATATATATATATATGCATAGATTTAGCTATATAACTAGTAGGATAACCAAAAATAAACAAAACAAACTTGAACAATTTACTCATTGCAGAGCATCTAATAGGTTTCAATTAAACATGAGAAAATTCATCTAATGGTGAGCATGTCATCTTCCACGGGCTTGATAAGACAATCCAACAACACATAGAGGGTGTTTGGTATAGGATAATCTTAAAGGTGGGAATGGGAATCTGAAAGATGTCCACGGGTTAATCTCAGAATTACCATGTTAAACAACAATGCATAGATTTTTGTTTTTTTTTTTAAATGATCAAGGGATAGTATTATCTGATTTCTATTCCTTGGCTTTCGTATTCGCATAAATTCTTGATTCCACATCAACTGTACCCGTATAATCTCTTGACGACAAGTGCTTGCAAAGTAGAGCAAAATACAAGAATCTCAAATTTCCTTTTATACTTCATATAGCATAATAGCACCAATAAATATAGATGAAATAAATCAAATCAGTCCTTGTTAGATTGGGGCGCTAGCATGATTTTTCTTGCCCACTTTAATTGTTCTGCTCTATTAATTTGGCCATTTCATCTTCTTTTTCTTTCCCTTCCCGCTTTTTGAAGTTAAATTTCCTTATAATTTATAGTTTAATTTAGAATTCATCACCTGATAATAGTAGACACAGCTAGAAAAATGACTAAAACATAAAATCAAATTCAAAACCAATGTTTACTTTAGAATTTCACCTTCTATATTATATAATATTTACTTTAGAAACAAATGGGGAAAAAAATTATAAAAGTTAAAAAGAAATTGACACACACAACAATCAAAAAACTCAACTCTGCATTGTATGCTTTTGTTTGTTTCTCGGCAATCAAACAAGCCGCAGCACCAAAAAAAAAAAACGCTCAAACAAAAAGAAAATGAAACAAAATCGAAAAAATGGAAAATCCACGAGGAAACAGAGTTATCAACAATTAAAATAGGAATAACGCTCACCAGAATCAGAGTTGACTAGAAGCAAGGAGACTCTCACTCAGAGACGCCGAGGAGACGAAATGCCGTAGGAGATCACTGGGCAAAGGTTGTGAGTTTGAGGCTGAGAGAGAAACTGAAAGCCGATAAGTGAAAGTGTGAAACTGAAAGAGATGAAAACGAAAGTTGAGTAGGGTTTTCCAATATGGAGTATCAGTTTCAGAAAAGAAAATAATAAAGGATGAAAATAACAAAGGACTAACAGAAAGAAACAGAGCGAGAATTAAAGACGTCCGTCGGAGCTTCAGAAAGAAAGAGAATAAGAGTAGGCAATATGGAAGTTGCCAAAAAAAAATTATAAAATAAAATAAAATTTTTCTGCAGTTTCTAAATTTTAAATTAAGGGACTGTTTTTGTATTAATTATAAATTATTGATTTAAAGACATTTATAAAAATTGTTAAAACAAAATTATAAAAGAAAATTATGATTCTTTTATAGTTTTTTAATTTTAAATTAGATGATTGATTTTGTATTAGTTGAAAGTTGTTGACTTTAAAGACATTGATAGAAGTTGTCAAAAAAACCCCAAAATCATATCTCTTCTATGAATTAAAATTTTCTTTTAATGGCTTACTATGAATCAAGTTATTTATCCCAAAAAAAAGTGCCAATTTTTTAAACCAATTTTGGATGAAAAATTAGTACAATTCGGTAATTTGACTTCATTTAAGTTGTTATTCACATTTTTCTTTTTAAAATTCTCCCACTTTTGGAGAGATTAAATATGATGAGACTCACCAATCATAATTTTCATTCAATTTTTTTTTCTTCCCAATTTCTTTTCTATCAAACAAACTAACTTATCAATTTTTATCATAAAATCCCTCTAATATTTTCTTTTATTCCACTTTTCATTCGTACCAAACACACTATTAAAGCTTCACGAGTTTTGAGCCGTCTTAAATTTTATAAGATATCTTTTAAAAAAATTTAAATATAAAGTGTTTGAATGAAATATGATAGATTGTGGAACTTACACGGAAAAAATTAATAATAATAAAAAAGTACATTAATTAATGAATATGACTCGACGAAGGTGATTTTCACGTGCCAAAGGAGAAGAAAAATAGAACGTAACTTGTTGACGTTAATGAAAAATTCGAAGTCTAATTTGATTGAAAAATTCGTATATGAGATTTGGTTAATAAATTGGATTGGCATAACATGCATTTCAGTAAATAGAACATAACATCATGCATCCACTATGAGGCACGTACCGCGACGAAGAAAGAGACAGATTGTGGGGCCCATGAAAAAAATAATAATAATAAAAAGTGCATTAATTAACCTCGACGAAGGTAATGTGAGAAAAAACGAAAGTGATTGACGTTAGTTTTGCAGATTGCAGTGTTGACAGTAGATTTTGCAGATTGCAGTGCATTAATCTTTCTCATGTATTTTTGTAGATTTTGCAGACACAAATTAGATACATTGAAAAACATTCTTCCTTTCGCTAACGTGTCTCTTAATCACTCTCCTACTTAGCTATGGCCCACTAGTATATTAATGGCAAGTGCATTGCGATGTAATTCTTAATGAGGCAGTATTCCTGTGATGCAATCAAAAGTGATCTCAAAAAGTGCATTAATTAACCTCGACGAAGGTGATCTCAAAAGAATCAAAAGTGAATTTATTTTTGCAGACTTAAAAAATAGAAAGTAACTTGATTTTAGAAATTCGAAAGGGACATTATTTTCTCACGTATTTTAGAAATTTGATAATTTTTTACATTATTTATTTATTTATTTTATTAAAATCATTATCTCATCTACAGTTTACCGTAATGCTCAAAAGGGGCAATTAATTTTCTTTTTTTTTTTCTATCTGACACTTAAAAATTAATTTTTTTAAAAGATTATGGGTATTAAATCAGTTATTTTTTAAAAATAAAAAGAAAAAAAAACCTCTCTTTTTTATTTTCTCTGCTTTTTGACCTTTTTGGCAAAACAGAGGTGTCGAGGAAGAAGAAATAAAAGAGAAAAATATCAGATTGTGGGATCCATCCAAAAATAATAATAATAATAAAACAATGCGTTAATTAATAAATATGACTCGACGTGATCTCGACGTGCATGGAAAGTAAAAAAAGTAAGTGGTCAAAGGAGTTTATATTTGTATCTAAGTACATGACGTATGCTACAAAGAGTAAGGGTCCGTTTAGTTCGTTGATTCGAGTTTTTAATTTAAATTGAGATGTGATTTTATGTGAGAGTTTTTTACTATAGTAAAAAAATTAAATGTGATTATTTATAAGAGCTTTTTACTGTAATAAAACTCAAATTTTAAACTCGAATTAGCGAAATGAACGGGGCCTAAATAATTTTGAGCTTGTTCGGTTGCCCAACATTATTAAAAAAAAGCCCATTCGAGTGAAATTTTTACTCAAATCTGTGTTCGACGCGTGCAAACTCAAACTGACACTCAAAACTCAACTCAAAAATTAATTTGAGTAATCTGCCTTTCCTGAGTCCACCTTCTCACTGTAATTTGAGTTACTCCTTTGTCTTTATACAATGAAGATTCCTGGGTATTTTGACCGTTATGTGCTTCGTCCATCTCTGTTTGCTCTAACACGTCAGACTGCTGCTTCACGTGCTTCTACAGAGAGATTATCAAAACCATTTTCACAAACCATTATTGGTTCTCCGCCTTTTGACCATAGCTCAGTCGTTCAAGCCTTCGGCTCTCGCTTCCGCTTCCGCCCCATACCCATATCTCTAAATGCTCCCTGAGTTCTGCTGCCTTTCCCTAAATCAGAGATAGAGAAACCCTAGCCCCAAAATTCAGCCGTCATCTTTTGCCGCCTGGTCTCCGTTCAAGACGGAGAACATCAGGGGTAGAAATGGATCTCTTCGGCAACCTCCTTGGGCAAAAATCGTAGCTCGATGTAGAAGGAAAGAATCTCGACCTAGTGCTTACCTGTACCGACGATTGTCGTACTTCCCCCTCCATTGTCGTCGCCGGTACCTGACTCAGAGGCAGCGGTCTTCGTGTTTTGGGCATCTCAGAGCAGATCAAACCCGCTCCTCTGTAGGCTCCAACTCGGTAAGCACTCTACTCTTTAATTTAATTCCTTCCAAGTTGCATGTTCATCTCCTCCGCCACCACATTTTCCCCATGGTAACCCCCAAAAAAAAATGAAAAATCCGTGTAAACGAGTTGCTGAATATTTTGTGGTTTGCCGTGAATTGATTGCTGCACTTTCCTAATTTTGTTCTTGTTCAATGCCTTTGCCGAGTTGCTGCATATTTTGTGGATAATGGTTTATTTGTCTCACACCTTGTAAACGGAATGTATCAACCATTACTTGATGTGAGCCTTTGAGTTATATTTTAGAATCTGAAACTAGTTTCTTCAATTTTTGTTTTTGATTCATGAGCTTTGCATTTTAAGGTTGCTGGTTTTAAGCAAAAACCAAGCAAAGCCGAGAAAAAAAAAAACAGATACACAATAGAGATGGTTCTCTGCTCTTCAATTATATGTTCTTTAATACCTCACATGTTTCGGTTAGGCATTGACACTTTGAACCCAGATTTTGTTTGGCCAGAGTGATGGTGTCTCAGTATTGTTGAGAGTATACTTACATGTTCACATGCAATAAGTATACTTAGCTGCTAACCGTGGCTGAATGTTCACATGGCAATAAGTATACTTACATGATGGCTGAATGTTCGGACGTCCATTTTTCTTTGGCAATAAGTATACTAATCTGTTCATCTGTGGCTGAATGTTCTCCACAATCTGCCGTTATATACTTACATGATGATTTGCAAACTTTTGACTATTGTTCTCATATGTATATTTGGAACCCCTGCTGTGCAGTTTCTGGAAAAAAACCAGAAACTGTTTCTTGTTTTTTTCAGCTTCTAGATTGCATTTTTCCGTGGCTATGACGATGTAATTGTAATTAATGGCCTAGTTCTTTATGTCGAGTGATATTCGATGGCTGGGTACTAATTGATTGCCAGTTTATCCCATTACTCTTCGTTGGTATGGTTGCTTTAATTCACTTTGTATGCCTTGCTTGATCAATATGCCGACATTAGCTAGACCTTTGGCAGCATTTTGGTTGCCGGTTTATGCATAACATCATGGCATAAAGTGTATGAGCAACCTACCACTCAGATTAATTGAACATAAACCTTGGTAGCCTAACTGTCCTAGCCTTGGATAATGCTCCATAAGAGGACGATGATTGGCCTTTACACAAATCTGAGCCTCCTTCTAACATCCGAGCTCATTAAATGAATTTTGCATGCTATGTACATACGTATTGCTGCCATTATGGTATTGTCAATACATAGATGGCAAGAAGGAGAGATAGAGATGTAAACTGGAGCCCGGAAGCTGAGGAAGAACTGCTTAAACGTCTAGGTGAGTTCAATTTATTGAACTCTGTTGGTACCACCCCTCACCGAGATAAATACACACAATGGGCGGCGGAGCTAAGTGAGCATTTTAGCGTTCCCCTAACTTGGGACAAGGTCAAACAAAAGGCCAGTAGACTGAAGAAAACGTTTGATACTGAGTTTCTACTTCGCACTGCCACCGGACTTGGATGGGATCCGATTAAAAAGAAACCCACTTGCACTAACGAGTATTGGCAACAATTTATCAGTGTAAGTTTCTAATAGTATATGTCATTGAAAGAAATGTGACACTCGTTGTATTAATATTTGTTGCTCCATTTACAGATCCATCCCGAGGTTGAAAGGGCGAGGAGGAAGCCCTTGTTGGATTACGATCTATATTATTGCGCGTTTGCCAATACTCGGGCAAATGGGGCCTTTGAGTATGGTCAAGATGATGCTCCACCACAACATAGGTCCGGCAGCCCAACTGAGCGAGGAACAACTAGTTTCAATGACGGTGACGATGTTCCTCCTACAGATAGAAGACATGGCATGCATAGAGAAAGCCGCGGACAACATGCACACTCACCACCGCGAGTAGTACGTCGACGTTCAAGTCGTAGCTCTCGTAGAGCGTCGCCTAGCTATATGGAGCGTGCCGTGGATCGCCTCGTCAATTCGATAGAAACAAGCAGTTGGTTGCGCGGTGTAAGTGCATCTGCGAACATGTCGGCTCAAGTTGAAAACATTCAGGATCAATGCATGGATTTATTGGCAACGTTGGACATCTCCCAAGAACAGTATATCTTCATGTTCAACTTCATGACTATAGAGCCTAGGTGGCAGCGTCCATTCCTGCATATGCCAGAACACCATCGGCTTGTGTGGATTCAGCAGACTATGGAGCAGTGTACCAGACAACAAGTTGCTCCTCAGCCGCCACAACAAATGCCTTCGACCTCGTACTTTTAGCCGAACACGCAAGCGAACCCTGCCCACGGCAACACATTTGGCCAGCCTACTTCCCCATTTCAACCATTCATGCCACCGTTCTCGAGACCCAACTACACAGTGCCACATGGAGGCGATGGTTCTTCGCAATTGTGATGCTGTTATTCGATTCGTTTTATTTGTTACGAACATATAGAGACTTCATTGAACATGTTATTTTTATGGTTCTAATTCCTTTATTATTTTTCATTTTTAGTACTAATTTAGTAATTCTTATTAGATTAAGGCACATTTGGTTGAGGATTTGTTACTTAATGCAAGCTTATTTATGCAATTATTTATGCAAGAGTATGTTTTATATGCACTTTTGAACTTTGGCATGAATGCTTTAAGGGATGCAAGGGCGCATACAATGTGGGCAGTGTACCGGCACCGTCGTGCACGCTGATGCCATCGTTCATTGTTGTCTTTTTAAACTTAAATATGTAGTTTTGCTGTCTTTTTGAACTTAATTAAAATGAAAACTGAGCTTGTACTTGTTATTTTTATTATTTTTTTATTTTTGTAATTACAAGTAATTTATTACAATAAAACATAATAAAGGCGGAAAAATAAAAAAAAAAATTGTAAAAGAATTGAATAAAAAGGTAGGAGAAAAAAAAGGATATTCACTATTCACAACTCAAGTTTTATCACAAACAAACACAAATTCAAAAAATTCTTAACTCAAACCATAACTCAAGTTATACACAACTAAACGTAAACTCAAATTACAACTTAAACTCAAGTTATAACTCAAATTCAACTCAAACTCAACTCAAAAACTTAACTCAAAAACACTTGCAAAAGAACAAGCCCTTTGCTTTTGAGAAATTAAGGGTGCGTTCGTTTGGCACACAAAACTCGAGTTAGCCTAATTCAGATTGAATTTTGAGCCTAATATCACGTTCTGTAATTCAAACTCAGACTCAAAACTCGAGTTTGAACTCGAGTAATAAAACATCAACTACCCCCTGATATTCCTTTAACTCGAGTCTGTCTTCTACAGTGCAGATTCTCTGCGCATACCTGCTTTTCACATGCCTTGTTATCGTTGCTTGCCATTCATTGTCGTTTCCAAGATTTGCTGCTTGGCTCACGAGAAAGGGCCCCTCCGGCTCTCGCCCTTCGCTTCCCTCATCTCCCATCTGCTACAGTTGCGCCTCCGTGAACCCCAAGGCCGCGTGCAGTCTGCGATGCTATTTTGATCCAGTGGGTTTGTGCAAATCGATGGCCGCGTGAGTTCCCCCTTCCTCGTGCACCTATAAATCCCTCAATACTCATCCATTTCCTGATTGTGCGCCCAACACGAAACCCTATTTCCCATCTTCTTCAATTTTCAAATCGGACAAAATTGGTCCGCCGAGCGTGAAGTCCTACAGTCCACTGGCAGTATTGTTGAGTCGATGTAGTGTGCAACGTCGTTTCTGAGTGCGTAGGAGTTGTCTCCGGTACCGGTCTTCCCGTCTTCGTTACCGTCGGCGAACTTGGCTGCCAGAACCGTCGGCCGCGCGGTTGGGGGTTATCGAAGCAGAGCATCAGCACTCCTCTGTCGGGTCAAAACCGGAAAAATTTCAGCCCTTGATTTTTTTACATTATCACGAAAACTGGTCTGTGTGTGTGCAATGCAATGCTTTGCATGAATGTTGATTCCCCCATTATTTGCGGTGATTAGGATGTGCGGCTAATGATGCTGCCGATTCACAACAACCCAAAATAGCTTAGAAAAACTAGAGCACAATAAGCAAAACAATGGCAAAAAAGACAAATTTTTTGCCATTGTTTCCAGAACATAAGAACAGCCAAACAACCCTAAACTCAAGTTTTGTGTGCCAAACGGTCGCCCCAACTAGTATGTCGTTACATATGAGATATGTCGTTTTTGGCTGTCCAAGCAGAGCATCAGAATTTGTTCCTTTTTTTGAGTTAAGCATGCATCCCTTGAACACGTTTAGTTGATTTCGATTCAATATTTATGTGGTTTTTGGTAATGTAATTTTGTAGAAGTACTGTACCATAATTTCGATTCAAGATAAAGAATCATTTCTTGTAATGCCAAGACATTCAATTCAGTCCTAAATTTTGCTATCCCGCTTTATAGGCTATTCTTTTGTCTAAAGTATTCCTCCGCAAATTAGTTGGCTATGCAAAAATTTAAATTCTACTAAAGGTAGGCAGTCGACTAAGTCGAGATAAGATCTTAGTGGTTTGGAGGTTTAAAGAGCTACTGAGCATCATTTCTGGGCTGAACTTGATATACATGGCAAAAGAAATTTATACTATTGCAGCCAATAAATAAACTAGGATGGAATAAAATCACCCTGACTCACTTTTGTTAGCATCCTTTTTGCAAGTATGTGATAATGCCGTTGTCAAATTCGTTGTCCGACCATTGTAGCCACCAAGACACTATAAAATATTCCAATTAAAGTAAAAAGTCCCAGCACAATCAATGCCATTATAAACAGCAATGGTAGCCCTGCTTCACCAGCACCTCCTAGGCAACCCCCTCCCCCTGCCATACTTGCACAGCTCTCAAAGCATGTGGTGCAGTCGGTCCACATACAAAGAGTGCCGGGTAAATGACAGTCCGCACAGACACTATAAGAATTACAAACAAGCCGGTTACCATGTTAGGTACTGAGTATTATAGGGCCATTTACAAGGTTCAGTTAGTACTACATAGTACATACATCAAAGATAGCAATAAAAAATAATAAATAAAAATAAAATAAAATAAAAAACTCGCTTCGTTGTGGCACACTCATGACAGCCTATAATCACCATTATATCACCGGAGGAAGTACATTTGCTAGATCCAGTAACCAAGCCAACAACCCCATTGCTTTATTTACTAATAAGTTAAATAGCCACAAAATTCGGACTTGGTTGTTCACAGTTTAGTCCCAAATCGTGTTGTCCTTGGCTTTGGTCCATTGTCTGTTTTGTTTTCTTTTACTTCCCTTGTGTTTATATATATATATATATATATATATGTTTATAGTTATATACAATTGTGCGTACGTGTTTTTGTTTGTGGCTTCTTATTTGTGCGGGATGATGCTTTTGGTGTGTGGTGGTAGATGCCAAGAGGGGGCAATGATGAGGACACGACTCTTCATTGGAATCAAAAGCAGAAGGAGGAGTTGTTGCAACTCCTAGCAGAGTATAACCGTAACTACCATGGTCGGAAACCGGTCCAGAAAAATTGGGAAGATTGGGCTACTAAGCTACAAAAACATTTTAAGGATCCAGTTACGGCGGCCAAGGTTCAACAGATGCGAGTGCGTCTAAAAGGCAAGTTTGATAAGGAGGTTATACTACGTACAACCACAGGCCTTGGTTGGGATCCTGTGACAGGCGCAGTGACTTGTACGGACGAGTATTGGGAAGATTTTGCTAAGGTAATCACCAGTTGTTTGTTTTCCTTTCCCAAATTATTTATCATCAGTTAGAACATGTGTTCAACGTGCGTTAGCTTATGTGGATGTTATTTTTCACACAGAACAAGAAGTGGGCTAATGCTGCGAAGAAGCATCCCCTTAAAAATTTTGACTTGTACTACGAGGCCTTTGGTAGTACCCGTGCATGTGGTGAATTTGCGGTGGGATTGGAAAATCCCACCACCGCGCACGTAGACACAACTCCAATCCCGGCTGAAGAAGGTGAAGGGGGGGCGACGTCGCATTCGTTAGGCAGCGATGACGTTTTTGTGACCACGATGCGAGCTGGGTTGAACAGTGCTAGGAAGGGCTTGAATGTTGCATCCACCTCTAAGGCAATTGGTAAGAAATCTGGACGCAGTCAGAAACGTCCGGTTGGCGATCCAGAAGCAAGGGCACTACTTGGACGACTTGTAGCCTCTATAGAAAGTAAGAATAGTAGCAGGGCTACCAGTTCCAGCGCTTCTCAGAACCCTGCGACCCCTACCACTCTGCGGCAGTGTACAGCGATTGTGAAGGAAATGGATCTTGAAGATGACACTGTCATAATATTCTTAGAGGCCATTGGGTGGTTTCCACACATGCAGCAACTCTTTTTGGATATGACAGAGACGCAAAGGGTTGGTTTCGTGATGAGAACCGTTACCTCTAAAACGAGTCAATCTACCCAATCTTGCACCATGCCCCCTCCATCCATGGCTTCCAACTTCATGCAGCCCCCTATATATCAAAACTTCATGCCGACACCCAACTTTTACCAACAACCGCCAATCTATGGCCAACAACCTCCTACCTTTGGCCAACCACAAGTACCCAGTTTCTCTCAACCCTCTCACCACATGCAACCACAACACCCACCAATCCAAAACATGACCCCAAATGTTACTCCCCATCCCCCTAACTTTCAATGTCCACCACCCTATTACATGCCTAGTTTTCCACCTAACTCTGGTCATTTTGGTGGAGGAAACAATGAGGAGTAGCTACTTGTTAGGCTTTTTAATTATGAGGCTCTTTGTTAACGAGACTTTTTATTTATGAGGTTTCTTATTTATGAGGCTTAGATAGTGTCGGACAATTTTCTTAATTATGAGGCGTTTAACTATGTTGTAATCATTTATTGAGTTGTGTTGTACTTCGAAACTATTACTTCGTTTGCTTTCTCTTTCAATTAGTGTTCTGATGACATGATGCAATTTGCATTAATGACTTTACTTGGTAGTGACTCTTATACTTTGCCATTACATTATTGCACAATTTCAACATTAACTATGTTGTACTTGTGACTTCTACTATAGCAGATTTGGCGAACAGGTTGTAATGTGGAACGGAGGGCCTTCGAACGCGTCGCCTGACAACACAATAGACGATGACTCAGATGATGACTATGAGACAGCAGGTGTCGCGGCCATGCTCTGGTATTACCAAACCTACGTTGAGAGACCCCCGCCTCAACCTAAGCACACCTCCGCGTTCACAGGTATTATGCGTGTTGATTACTTGCTTGATGGTCATGAGGACGTAATTCGGAATAAGATTAGGATGGGCAGTGACTGTTTTAAGCGACTGAGTTCACTCTCAGAACTTAAGGGATATCTGATACCCACTAGGAATATGAACGTGGACGAGCAGCTTTTTATCTTTCTATACATTGTGTCCTAAAGCCAAAGCAATAGGGAATCGCAGGATCAATGGCAGCATTCTGGATCCACAATTTCCAAATACTTCGAGGCTGTATTGGCGGCAATATATAACCTGCGGCATGATTTCATAACACCCCCGAATTTTAACATTATTGATCCAATCATTGCTGCGAGTGGAAGCAAGTATTTGCCATGGTTTAAGGTATGTCATTACTCATATATCATATCGTCAGCGACTAACATTATAAGATTGGTAACCTCGTTGTTCTTAATTGATTACAGAATTGTGTTGGAGCTCTCGACGGGACTCACGTCCCTTGTGTTCCACCATCAGGTAACCCCGAAGTATGGAGGAATAGGAAGGGTTTTTACTCCCAAAATGTGTTAGGGGTATGTTCATTTGACATGAAGTTTACCTACATATTAGCTGGATGGGAGGGATCGGCACATGATGCGCGCGTTCTTTCATCCGTAGTGGGGGTACGAGAAAAAAAGTTCCCAACTCCACCGCCCGGTATGTCAATCCCAATCCTTGCTATATATGTTGATAAACAAGCATCATCGTTGGTTGCTTGACTTCACTAAAGAGTTGGCCGTACTTAATTATTGCTTTGTAATGGCGAATGCAGGTAAATACTACCTTGTAGACTCTGGCTACGCGAACAACGATTGTTTCTTGGCGCCGTACCGGGGGAGCACATATCACCTTCAAGAGTATAGGGCAAGATGTGGGCGTCCTCGAACTCAGCGTGAGTTGTTCAATTACACGCATTCGTCCCTAAGAAATGCTATTAAGCGCACTTTTGGTGTTTGGAAAGCAAGGTTCCGCATACTCAAGTGCATAAATAATTACCCAATAGAGAAACATATACAAATTCCTATTGCTTGTGCTGTGCTTCACAATTTCATACATATGTACAACAATAACGATGAGCTACTGAACCAGTACACACGAGACGGAGTTCCAGTTTTTGAAATTGATCCAGAGAATGCAGATCAAGATGTTAATCAGAATCACAATCCTGATCGCGGAACGGAACAAAATCAGAACTCCGCACATCGTAGACAAATGAATATTTTGAGGGACGAGATGGCAGCTAGCATGTGGGCGGCATTGGAAGCATATCGCAATCGGTAGTTACATATTTGTTCCGCAATTTTGACTACCGTATTTATTTTACAATACGTTGTAATGAACTTATGGACATTTCTGTTATTTATGTATATAGGTGTATTAATGTGTAGTCAAAAAATCCATGTCAATACTTGCAAAATTTTGGAGTTATGTTTTTGTCAAAGTGAACATAAAACTCAAGTTCACATCTCACAAATCATCCAAGTGAACACACAATTCAAGTTTCAAACACAATTCCAATTAAACTCACTTTGGGCCCGTTTAGTTCGCTGATTCGAGTTTTTAATTCGAGTTAAGATGTGATGTTATGTGAGAGCTTTTTACTGTAGTAAAAAAGTTAGATGTGACTGTTTCTGAGAGCTTTTTACTGTAGCTGTAGCAAAACTCAAATTCTAAACTCAAATCGGCGAAGTGAACGGGGCTTTTTAACTCCAATCTTGAATTTGGAGTTATTGAAAAGAACGCAACCTAAGGGTACAAACCTCGTGGAAAGCTACTTTTATTGCAGTTTTCCAATACTTAGGCTCGGTCGTGGTACCAAGAAGATACGGGCACATCCAGTATAATCAATTATCAAAATGGCTTAACTCAATTATAATGTTGCGAACGAATTTGAACTCTGAAACATTTTAAACAGATATTACTTCATAAAATATAGTTTTAACGAAAATAAACCTGTTACGTACATATTGGGTGGTAACACTAGAAAAACCTTGATATTCACAAAAAAAAAAAAAATTCTAGCATTTAGTTTCCTTGGAATACAAAAAAAAATATTTAGAATGTAAAATTAAATAATTAAAAAAAAAGATTAAGAAAAAAATATAAAAAAATTATGTCCCGTTTATTTCACCGATTCGAATTTAGAATTCGAGTTTTACTACAGTAAAAGGCTCTAAGAAACAATTACATCTAATTTTTTTGTTACAGTAAAAAACTTTTATATAAAGGTACATCTTAACTCAAATTAAAAACTTAAATCAACGAACTAAATAAGTCATTTAAAGGGCACACACTTTGTATTTTATATTAATCCAAAAACATAAAGCAGAAAGATTTATTCGCTTCATTATAAAATTTCGTAAGTGTATTTTATATTAAGAGGATGTTTGGTTGGAGGATTCAAACTATGATTTGAATCATAGTTCATGATTCGTTATAGTGTTTTTTCTCACAAAAAATACACGTAAATTAAAAATAATTCTAATCACATAATTTTAATATATGAATCAAACGTCTTCTAAGTCATCATATGTTTAAAATTTATTCACTTAAACCTACAATAGTTTTTAAAAGATGGTAGCCAAAAAAATTAAAAAAAAAAAAAAAACATAAACAAATTTGAAAAAGCACAACAAGTAATGAAAAGAAACGTCACTTATTTTTTTCCAATTTCATGACAAATTATAGCTCATAATGTTTTCTGCAATTCAACATACAAAGTACTTTATATTTTATTTAATTTTTTTTTTTTTATAAAAAAAGCCATGCCTTACAGCTTGCATAGTTAAGCTATTTTCTTTTTCTCTTTTTCTGGCAAGTGTATTGCACCGAGAGGATTTTGCAGATTGCAGTGCATTAATCTTTCTCACGTATTTTTGTAGATTTTACTGATACAAATCAGATTCATAACGTGTTTTTTAAGTTACAGATAAAGAACATGACGTGTTTGGTGAAAATATTAACTATATATATGTCACACTCAATAAATGAACTATTTGGCTTTATTCAATCATTGTATGCGGTTCCTAAAATAAATGAACTCTAGTTCAAACAATACTCTCTCTCTCTCTCTTTTCCTCTCTAGTTAAGTTATTTCTTACTGTATAACTATTGGGCTATACTCTTTCTTTCTCACTCAAAAACTATGTTTATTTTATCAATTTAAATTTAAAATTAGAATTTTATTATAATAAAAAATTTTTAAAAATAATCACATTTAATTTTTTTATTATAATAAAAAATTTTCATATAAAATTATATTTTAATTTTAATTAAATAAATTAAATAAAATCTCTTTTTACATTTTTGATTTCTTCTCTCAGTTTACTTCTTCTTATATAAAACATAAAATAACTCCCAACTCTCTCTCTTCTGTTTCAACTCAAAGTCTTTTCTACTTCATACACGCTCAGACCCTCTCTCTCTCTCTCTCTCTCTTCTTTCTCCATCTTCATTCCCATCAACCATAAATGCTGACGTTAAAGATATATTGAAGACAGAGACATTATTCGTCTTTTCTCACTTTAATAAATATATACACTACTCACAAACAGAGACATTATTCGTCTTTTCTCACTTTAATAAATATATACAGTGCATAAGACAGAGACATTATTAAAGAAATTGCAAAATATATACATATCTGTGAATAATGTCTCTTTTAATCTTGTCTGCTGACATTTGCACTGTCATCATGATATCGTATTTATACGTTGATTTGATGGGTTGCTGCCTTATTTACTACTAAGGGTCCCCTCTACTTTTTTTTACCGGTTGTTATTAGTTATTACCACTACTCACCTAACTTTGTCTCCCGTATTATTGCCGTTAGTTTGTTAATTAAAATTTTTAATTTGAATTAAGTTATAATTTTATATGAAAATTTTTTATTATAATAAAAAAATTAAATATGATTATTTTTAAAAATTAATCATTATTTTAAGGTAATTTATGTTTCTAAGGCCATATAGAAATTGGCCATTACCTTAAGGTGATTATTTCTTTAATAAATATATACACTACTCACAAACAGAGATATCATTCCTCTTTTCTCACTTTAATAAATAATCTTTCTCACGTATTTTTGTAAATTTTGTTGACACAAATTAAATACATAACGTGTCTTTTAATCACTCTCTTATTTATTTATGGCACACTAATATATTAATGGTAAGTGTATTACGAAGTAATTTTTAATGAGGCAGTAATGCTGTGATGTAATCAAAAGTGATTTCAAAAAATGCATTAATTAATCTCGAATCTTAAAAAAATGAAAAGTAACTTGATTTAACTTGTTGACATTAATTTTTTTCTCCGATTTACCACTCTGGCACACCGAAAATATGGCGCAGTTTTCTCTGGCTCAACAGGCAATTGTGGGGTCCACGCCGAAAAAAATAATAATAATAAAACAGTGCATTAATTAATCTCGACTATGGTGATGTGAGAAAAAACGAAAGTGATAGTCTACTAATACTATCTAGCTATAGTCTACTAATATATTAATGGCAAGACTTGTGTATTGCGAGAAAGAAATAGCAAGAAAACCAAATATTAGAGGAAAAGATTTCCGTTATCTCGACGTGTTGATTTCGACGTGTGAATAGTGAAGACCAGTATCTCATCTAAAACAAAAGGATCTCATCAAAGATGAAAACCATATCTCAATTACACCAATCTCTCTCTCTCTCTGTTTTTTTTTTGTTTTTTTGTTTTTTTTGTTTTTTGTTATAGAAAAATTTTGCAAATTTGCAGTCTGCTCATTTACAGTTGTTAATTATTTTTTCTATGCTTATTGTTAATTGTTGTTCCTGATCACCATGAGAACGCGAATGATGAAAGAGTAAGGGAGAGAATCATGAAAGAGAAAGTGAGATACGGTCTCTTTCCATCTCTCTTCTCTCAAGGTAACACACTTTCTTCTCTATCTCTTGCAATGGAGTTTTTCATTATGCAGAGCTTTCATTTTCTTGAGCTTAAAAATAGAAAGGTTACGATTTATCATTCATGTCTTATTTCTGCATTCTTTAATGGTGGATTGACGTTGATTTATGCCGTGAGCTCTATTTATAGAGTCACGATTCATAATGATTTCTACACTCGTAAGTAGCAAAACGAAAAAAAAAAATGTCCGACAAGAAGAAGATCGTTGAAATTTCTCAAAAAATGGTTTATCTCTATCTGATATTAAGATCGTTTTTTTAAATGTTGACTTCGATAATTATTTTATTTTCTTAATTTCCTATTTTTTTTAGTTCCATGCAGGAACCATCCTCTGTAAAAACAAAGGCGGGGAGGGATCACTTCCTTGTACACGTCCGAAGGATAAGAAGACGAAAGCCAAAAAAACAAAGGCTAAAATAAGGTGGGAAGAAGAACAGAAAATGAAGGAAGAAGAAAAAAAGGAACTCAAAGAGTCAAAACTGAAGGAGACAGTAGAGTCTGCAGAAGAGGACAGCGAGTAGAGGATTGTGGCCCACAAGTATCGTTCCTTTTTTTTTTTAATGTGTTTTATATTCTCTGCGTTTGTATTTTCCTCCTTTAGCTCCTTTTAAATCTGAACATTCATGTTCTCTTCCAGCACCTATTATAACTCGTCTTACACTTTCATGGCGTTCATTTTTTGACATATGACTTGCATATAATTAGCATATAATATTCAATCTTGAGATAAATGTAATTAAGAGTAAATGTGCGCATATATTATATTATATATATATATATATAACTCTTCAAATTGGATTGAAAGTTTGACAAGAGCAATTGTTTGCTCTATCAAATGCATCTTCTAACCAAACCAAATACTTTGCTACATGATCAAAAACAAAGCAAACAACATTACTTAAGAATAATGATAAAATACATGTAGTACCAAGAATTGAAAAGTCGACGTTTTGACAAATATTTCCAACGTAAACTTCCAGATTTCAGAAATGCCAATATGAAAACAGGAATGTATCTTTTTCACGGATGAAAGTATTGATATTTATGGAAACACCGTTACTTAAATTTTACAGATATATCAACGAAAATATCAATATTGATGGAAATGGATGTAAAATATGGATATTCATATTAAAACAATTTATAGGAGCCTCCCAATAAAACCTATTGCAGATACTTTGTATTTGTTTCTCAACATTTTACAATTTTGAGAAATAAATTAAAAAAATAAGAAACTGATAGTTTTTGAAAATTTTATTGATATTTCTAAGAAATTTTCATAAAATTTTATAATATTCTGCAAAAATGATACTACATACTATTTTCATATCGGTGCATCCAAAAGGCAGAAATATATATATTGGTCTTTTTCGGAAAATGTTATAAAATTTTGACGGAAATTTCTGTAACTATGAATATTTTCACGAAAAAGAATAGTGCTAAATGACCTACTCATGGCAATAAAATTTTCAGAGAATATCGATAGCTTTTATATTTTTCATTTTACTTTTCAATAACGTAAAATTTATAGCCCTTTCTGTACTACAAAATCTGTCTTGATATTATAATTGTTTAAACCAAGAACATATTCAAAATACCTTAAAACCTTCTATAAGCTCCATTTGATATTATTATTTTTTTTTATCATGAATAAAACCTTAATGGTAAGGTATGAATACCGGGTAAGAAAGTAAATCCAATGCGAAAATAATTAATTATTCTGGTTGGTTATTTATTGTAATATGATGGGCGTGTTACGTACAAAACAAAAAGAAAAGTTATCGAAATAGAAAGGAAAAGTAACAACCTAATAAACGTCATATTTGATCTAAAATATATGGATGTTTTCATATCTACGTCAGTGACACTCGTTTGCTATGACAACTGTAGTTTTCATGGTTTAATGTCGTTGGCACATGAGTTTCAATGAACTTTATTAGTAGCACCCAATACAGAGTTGATTTAATGGGCATATATCTCATATTATGATGGATAATACAATACAGAGATTACTCAAATATACATATTAGGCAATTTAAATTCTTGATGGTGCCGTGAATGAAATTCAATAATGATATGTAATTGATTAAAATTTCATTGAATTAAATATTGATATCATAACTTTAAATATACGAATCTAGTCCTCATGTAAGTTTTAAAAGATGGGCTTTTTTTTTTTTTTTTTTTTCTATTTTAATTGGCGGGCTTCTTTTAAGAATTCTCTAGATTGAACGACGTCATATTTGAGCGACGTTCTTTTTTTTGCACTGATTCAACCGGTGCATCAATTGTTTTAGAAACATCGTTGATATTCCCAACAATATATAAGGTTGCATTACCAGGAAAGTACCAACACTTATGAAATTTCTTTATTTGAGCAACACTCCAATTCTTAATTTGTTCCTCTGGTCCCAAAACATTAGACCTTTTATTTAACTTGTTGTTCGAATGCAGAAGTTGGAACAACTGACATATTGTAAAAGTCTATCATGAATAAAAATGAAAATAAACAAATTAAAACACAAAAAAAATATCAATTGATTTTGTGCCCCACACCTTGTCTTTAATATCAAAATCTATTGTATTCCACATCTGTAATTCTGAAAGCACAACATTTCGTTCATTTTCAAGATAAGAAGCTCGTATCTTTGACTTGAAAACTTGCTGTATCAAGAATAAATTAATGCAGTATTCTACTTTTGCATCTTTATCATAAAAAAGATAATTAATTGACTAACGTACATACGAATAGAATAGTAAGCATAAAAAACATTATAACTTCCACAATGAGGCACATACCTCATTTAAAGCATCTAGTACATGGGGAAGAAGATCTACATCAAGTAAATCATCGCCAAAATGCTAAAATAAACACAAAATTAGGTCCAAAATAAAAAGTATTAGAGTGCAACACTATTTATTAATATATAAATTGTATAAATTGAGAGTTCTTCATCGTATCAACTCAAAATTCCAAGCTAATAAAACCAAACAATAATAGAGTGAAAAGTTGAGAGATTAATAGCTAAACAACCTCCAATGTGACTTGTGAATTGATGTGATAAACTGTCCCATAGAAGTAAGTGTATGCTCCATTCATAGCTCCTACACAAACAAGTTCAGAAAATTTTTCACTCTCAATTACATGTTCAGTCATATGTGCAATGCCTTGTTCATCTTCCTCTTCATGCATGGATCCCACATGAACTTCCAGGTGTGCTTCAAACCTACAATTAATATAAAAAGAATAGTGTAATATATCTCATTCCATATACAAGTCCATGCAAAAATAGTACATATAAATAAAGTTGTTGAAATATAAAAAGATATTATTGGTGCACAATTTTGGGATGGACTCGTAAACAAACATGTTTTAAGTCATGAGTTCAAATCCTTGTAATTACACTGCTTAGTTGTCATCACGTGTTAGATCTTTATGTGTCGGGCTTATTATATACTATTCACATGTTAGACTTTCCAATTAATATACCCATACAATTATCCATTATCTAACCGACACGTGAATTAAAATATAAAACTTACGTTGGCTCACCTCCTAATAAGTTAAACTTTTTGAATAGATTGGTAAATTAAGAAAAGTTTCTTTTAAGAAAACTAAATGCGATTATATTACATTGTGCATCTCCAACATTAAAATCAAATAAGAATTTAAGGGTTTCACAAAGGTTGAGAATAAGAACGGCTGCTCGAATCTTGGCCATCTAGAAAGAATGTTTGGAGAATAATATTATCATCCTTAGTGGTGAAAGAATTAAAAGAGATTTTAGATTTCCCAGAAGAAGGAAAGACAATTTACCTGTTGGGAAGCCTTTTGTGTGGTAAAATACAATAACGCAACCCGTTTTCTAACTGTCCACGGGTTAGATTTGGATGAGAAGGAAGCTCAGAGCTCAAGAAACCCTCCAAATTATCTTGCATCTTTATACAAATTTTTGGGCTAGCACGAGACTTCACCTTAAATTAAAGTAAAATGCAAACCAAAGAAAATCAAATTTTACATTTAATCAGGATCATGTTTCATAAACAATAGTAAAATGCAAACCAAAGAAAATTAAATTTTACATTTAATCAAGACCATATATATTATATTGAAAGAAGAACAAGATCACGTTTCAAAAACAATATATCCGATTAACAATACATGCATCGCGAAACAAAGGGATATTCTATTATGGCTTAATAGTTACACTTACAATAGAATTGTATGAGCTCGGCTTGGATAAGTTAAGAAAAATAGAACGCATGTCATGGGGAACTCTAGATATAAACGTTGTTTGGTTCCTTCCTTTATACAATCTAGATCTGCCATATTAACCAACCACATATAAGAATTTTTCAGTCATAAAATTACAGAGGAAATTCGACTTGGAATTAGATATATGCACGCTAAAATCCCAAACACATTGCTTTTTGGGGGAAATTCTTTCTTTCATAATTTAAAATGCTTTTTTGAGGAAATTCTTTTTTGAGATCATGATTTAAAATACTAATAAAATTGCTTTTTCTTTTTTTCTTTTGATAGGAAATGAAAATGTCATTAAACAAATAAAATATTTACAAAAGTTTATTGAACGGATGAGAGATCCATCCTAAAAGATACAAAAAACAAAGAAACAAGATTACAAAATCACACAACCAAATCAAATAGACTATTTGAAAATACTAATCAAACTGCTTTAACAAATAAATAAAATTAATCGAGCGAAATTTTTATACTTGAATCCTGAAGTGGAGGAATAGGAGAGACAATGTAAATTAGACACTAAATAGATCCATTTAAGAGACTTGTGAGTCATTTAATTTCAAATCTCTTAGGGCTATGGTCATACCAGCTCGTGAATTGGTTGTAATAAGAAAAATAACATAAATAAGGAAGGATAATTAAAAGGTTGACAAATTGTAATTAATTTATTTCATTTTAGGTAGTTTATGTATTTTCGTAGAAGATTTATAATCATGTAATATCTCTTTTCTTATGTAATTACTTTTCCATAGATACCTTAATTTTATAGATGCACATATATTGTATTTCACATAGATACCTTAATTAACAGATTGGCAAAAACCATTTTATCAACTTCTTTTAGTCTAAATATTTTTTAGGTTGTTCTATTTGAGCAACGATCCTGAAATAATAATAATAATAATAATAACAATAATAATAACAATAATGATAATAATCATAATAATCATCATAATAATAATAATAGTAATAATAATAATGATAATAATAATAATAATAATAATAATAATAATGATAATAATAATCATCATAATAATAATCATAA